GGAAACCTAAATATGTTCAGTAATAGTATATATGCTAAATGTATAAAGTTATCAAAAATAAAAATATACATTGCAAAATCATGAAAGGTTTGGAAGTTATTTGCCTCGCTATCTTTGTTGTTCACAACAACTATTAATTTTTTCAAATAAAAATAAACACAAAGTTAAGAAACCTCTGTGCATGTCTGCTTCAGTATCAGACTATATGTTATTTATAGTTTTTTAATTGCAAGGAATGTTGATCATGTGCATTGTTGACTTGAAACGTCTTCATAAGACTGGGAGACTAGAAAGAATTTACACGTGATAGAATTGGAAGGGCTTTCCGTAAAAGGCGATTGAACTGAACTAAAAACAAGCTGGGCCTCATAATAGAATGCCAAATAAATGCTTCTATATTAGACGTTTTTCATCAGACTGGTTTCTACATATAGGACTACCTTGGCCTTCGGGGAGATGAACTTCCAGGTTTTTCTCGTGAGCTATAGGAATCAACAACCTACTTCAAAATCCACGTCTAAATTTGAAAATTATTCAAATTTAACCGATAAACGCATTCTAAGAATAAATTGTGCGTGTGTTGAAGAATGTTAATTCTTGACAATCCTTGAGAAAGATCTGGAACTCGACCCAATTTTAGGGCGTTCGAAGTATATAAAAAATAGTTCTATCCCTGGCGCCGTTATGATGCCATTCTTACGTGAAAGCTCCTATATCACAATGCACTCCTTTAGCGTTACTATACCCGATTGGTCAAGGATTTGGTTTAGGGCGGCTGTTCAGGGCCCCTTCTGGGCGGCTATTTTGGGCACCTAGTAATTATATAAGCTACATTTCATTCCGGATTTGTCGTGCTGCATATTTTGTGACAAAAAGCGCTAGCATTATTATTTTTTAACTGCATGGGACTAATTAGACGATTGTAATCTGGCACATTGCCGTAATAGGCTATATATTTACTCATCATACTATAAGTGGTTGATGGCCAGACCCATTAGAGCGTAGATAGCTAGCACTGATTACCATACAACTTGCCTCGCCCTCTTGCCATAAAACAGGGAAAATGCAACAGAGGTACTTTAATTTCAATATCATGTACTTTTTTATATTCACCGCTCGAATTTTCCAGCTAATTTCGAGAGGTAGGTAAGATATGGTGCATGGTGCAATTTACTGAATTTAGTCACGAGAAAACCCTCATTATGAGTTCTCAACATGAATGGTAAATTTCTGAATTTTTCCCTGATAACATAGCCATACAGCCTCGCTTTGTATGCAATAATGACATTCGAAAGGTGATTGTATATATAACTCTTGGTGGTGAAAAATGAGACCTTTGAAAGGAATAGTTCCTGTTTTTTAACAAAATGGCAGATTCGCATGCAAAAGGATTCTCACCGCGGATGTTGATCGATGTGACCGTGCCGCTTTGAGCAAGGTTGGCGGTCTCAAGTCTCAACCTTCATTGTACGTCAATAAATAAATCCTTTTCTAGAAACGCTGTATAAATCTCACGGACTATGCCTGTTTTAATATTCTTTTTGATGCTTACGCAAACATGTGCGCAAAGAAGATAATCGATTTTTGTATAATGAGGCAATAATCCAGCGGACAAATTTGGTTAATGGTGTTAAGACCCCTTGTCTTGTTTACCGCGTATGCTCGCAGGCAAATTCCGATCTTACAAAAGATTATTGACATTTGTCGCTGTCGTTCAAGAATGCATGCGTATATGATCGATGTAAGAGAGAATTTCAGACTTTTCAACTTCTAGAAAATACTCAAGCAAGGCATTTATAGTTTGAAACATTGATTCAAAGGCTTCAAATCACTTCATAATGACCATATTCCTCAAGACTCCCATATTCACTACTTCTACGATAATTGATTTGGAGACCTGCCCTACCCAAAAAATGGCGGTGCATGTGAGAGGGGTAATAAATCTATTGCTATTGTTCTAATTAACCTAAAAGTGGTGACTATTCTAGAAATATATAGTATATAGCATGCACTGTTTATAAAAAGCAGTATTTTACTGCGTGTGTTGTTTGAGATATTATTCTTCTGTAAATATAGCTCAAGGTTTTTTAACCCAGTAAGTACCCAACATATACTCATACACAGCAGGCCAATGAATTATAACAACCAGATCATAACAAGGACCCTATAATCAAGCAATATGAACTATGAAATCGGCGATGTTAAAAAAATTTGGATAGCATGTTTTAAAAGCCTGCAAGGAGGTTTATCTCTTCAAGAGTCCTCAAGACGTCCTGTTTCTCTGTTAGAGATAAACTGATCCGAACTTGACAAGAGAGCTGGAATTGAATACTTTCTCTTATTTTAGAATGGCAAAAATGTTCTTTCATCTTTGTTGGTCATTGACAGCTTTAAACTGGTTATACACACCTGTGTTGCTCCATACTTCTCCTGACGGCTATTATTAGCGCTTTTTCTTTGCACCAAGCAAACAGCTGCATGTAAATGTGGACTGTATAATTCTAATAATGAACATAAAATCAAGCGAAATCCAAGGACTATTGTTGCTTAATTTAATTCTTTTTAAATAGTCATTATCGCAAATAGTAAACCTGTGTCTGCGAAGTATCAGAGTAATGATAAATTAGCTTTGAGCAAGCGTAACCGACCGGATTTACCCAAGAATAAATCTCATAGAAACTTTTCAATCTAATTTTGCATGAAATATCAACGAGTCTTGTCGAAAAAATATTTATGAACGCATGCAATGTCCAGAAGTGTCGTAATTCTTTGGGTGATGGCTAATAATTGCTCGCATGTGTTGAATAATAAAGTACTTAGTCTGGATGTCGGCGAATTCCAAAACTGCATAACGGAGCTACAATCTTATGTGCTAAACACAGCTCATTATATATATACGTACGTGCAAGTGAATTGTATGTTTTCTCAAGTATATTTTTAATGCAACACTGTTTCTTTATTCCACGAGTTACTTCACGAATGAATATTCATTAGTCACGCATCTAGTTTCGAAGCTTGCTGCATGATTCTTTGCAAAGGTCATTTGGCTTGAAAATATTTTCCTTTACTCTCATCATTTGACATAGACGCCCTGAAATAAGCTAGCAAATCGCCACTTAATTCTGTATTTTTTAAATAAATCTCACTGAATCAAATCTAACCAATTAGTTATCCTCAAAGCAGTGTCAATCGTATATAGCGCTAGAGGCAATATGTGACTATATATAGCTATCAATGAATAGTGTTTCGAATAGCTTCAGGTGAAAGGAATAAATGGATATAGTCCTATGGATATAGATAAGTGAAGAAAACAAAACGGGAAACATTATCGACGAGTGCGGCAGCTTCATAGGATGACCTCAAAGATAATGTCATAATTTCCGGCAGGAAGTTAACAAAAGATCGTTTTGAAAGTTACCGAACCTGTGCGAAAATAAAGACGATTTTCATTGCTGAACGCGTAGTTCAAAAACAGTCATTTTGTTTTCATCGAAGTTTAAGATGATATCCGCACGCATTAATAATACCATTTATTGCTTGTAATACTTGAACCACGCCCATTCAAGATACGGAGATGGACCTTAGCGGATTATTTTTCAGACTATTATGTCGTGATAAACCATATTTATGCTTAATTACGTGTTTTCAACGATTGCAGTTGAAATGGAAATGTGTGGTTTTCCGCACTTTTTACATTGCAAAACCAAGCACCCTTTCAAAATGCGACAAGGTGAGTTAGAAGCGCATATCTGGAGACATGATCCTTTCTGGCGTGGGCGGCGTGCGCAGCGTTTTCAGGCACAGCTCGATGGCCTTTTCGGAATTTCGTTGGTTAAGAGTTTATAAGAATGGTATGATTATACTAAAGGTTTAATCTGTAGATCTGTAGACTATGCTATCGTTCTAACATCTAAAGAGGTCGAAATTAATTACCTTGGATACAAAATTGTTTTTAAAAATATCAGCTCAAGAACTGGCTAATAGCTTGATAGCTTACTCACGACAAAGAGGTCACGAAATGCAGGTGTTTGTGTCCTAGCTATATGGCTATATATGCGTATATAGTTATTGCGACATCTCGCCCGCGCGGTGCGAAACGTCTTTTAGAAAGTAGTTTTCATTCTGACTTTGACAATGTATCGTCGCTATATATATATAGATATAATCCTTGACAAATCATTTGAAATAATAATCATGCACCAAGGAAATTTGCACCAGGTTAAATTCGTACTTACCACTACCAGGATGTAGGAATCAGTATCCCCCATGCACTATGCGTACAAATGCTTCCAAAAACTGGTTGAAAACACGAATATTTTCTCCCTATATGTATAGATTTAATGTTGCCATATTACTTTTGTTAACTGTGGATTATGCATATGAAATTACACTGAAATTGTGCCTGGCATAGAAATATCATATAGTCTTATATATCAAGTTATCATCCACAACCAATTTTGCCCTAGTACCTGCACTTGCATGGCAGGAAATCATATAAGCGAATTGTGTCGATTTTGAAGTGAAGATCTTGGTATAAATACTGTCCAGGTTTATATCAAAACATGCCTTTTACTCCTAATGTAATTTGTATATAGTGTGGGTATACACTTTGCTGGCAATGTTATACCTCTCCAAAAAAAAGGGCTCCAAGTTTGACCAGAAAATTCATTAAATACTGGATGGATTGGTGTTTCAAGTAACAAAATTATGTTATATAGTTGAGTAATCGATGGCGTATGTAGCTGCACACCATTTTGCAATGCATTCACCCCTTACGAATCGAGCAGCTAGCACTTTACATAAATCCAACTTCCAAGCTAGATAGAGGTCAGTGAGTTATTCTTTACTGTTTTCCTTGAGTACACGAGCTTCGATTATGTAAACTTTATGGTCCCAAACTTATATTAATTTTTTCAGGCGAAACTTCACACACACAAAAGCATTCCGACATTTTGGTATGACCCATTGGTAATATAACTTATATTTAATTATCTATCTGGAGAAAATTACAAATTGCAAATTTACAATATCAATTGAGTATAAAAAAAAATGCAAAGTACGATAGTAACGTACCTTCAGTGTATCTTTCATTATCAATATTTACATTATATAATTGGACTAAGACAATAGCTAGGGTACCACAGGGACCATTTTAAATATCAAACATATTACATTCTATATATTTATAAGACGATAATAATTCTAAAGTTTTACACGATACTGACCAGTATAATTCGCATGCAGCCAGAATTGTCCATATTCAAATAAAGACTATAGTAATATAAGTCCTTTTTTGTAGGATAGGACGGTTAAAAAGATGGCTGCTTTTCCGGCCTCTACTGAGCAATAATTTCAGTGTGGATTCAAATTAAACATGAAAATGCGAGCATTGCTGCAACTCTTGGTTTTCACCACTTGGCAAATTTATATTAATGTCCCCTTTTGGCCTCTGAATGCATAAATTTGAGAATGCATTATTAAAATGAAATTGACTTTTTTTGTTAAAAGTTGCTGCAATCTTGTCGCTCGTACCACACGACTTAGGTTATTTAATTTGTCTATAAAATTATTTCTTTTTTATTATGTTTATAATTCTTTCCTCTCCTTTCAGCCATGTTCGGTGCAATTTGGAAAAGACTAAAAATATCGGCTTCATCTTTGGATATAAGGTGGGAAGTCAAATATATCTATAGATTAAAATTTAAATCTTAAATGGACAATTAGGCTCGTATGAGCGTGTTTTTATATATTGTTAAAGACAGATTCTTCCTGCCTTGGTTATTTCGTTAGCTTTCAGCTTCTTCGACATTTTAAGAAACGATTAATTGCAATTATGAAATTTTAAAAATTGCTATATGACCAGATAGGACATCCCTTGTTGGACTTGTCCTTTGATCCTATTTCCCTTTGATCCAATTCTACTCTATTTGGAAATTTATAAATATTAATGTTCGGTTATTTCTTCTATTCCGAGTTGCCAGCCGTGTTTGCTCTCCTCGCCTGTTTCCCACTGTGAATGTGAACTTTCAGATTTCGCTTGTTTTTTAAAAGGAAAAAAAAACCGGATCAGTAAAGCACGCAGGAACTTTTGCTAGGACGAGGAAACACACTGGCAGTGAAGCACTGATCACTTTAGTTAAAGTCAATATAGTAAAACGGCTCAGATTACAAGCTTAGTTTTCTCTAGGGGTGGGTTGGCAACTGCTCCTGTCGTCCTCCCTCCTCTGTGTGCGGCCCTGGAAGCACGTTCTCAATTCTCGACAAAAACTGCGCTTCCACCCCGAGACTTGCATTATAACGCAGGATCAACGACTACACACCGTGCAATATATTTCTGCACTTTTGTAATACATTTTATATGTAAGCGCAATAGCTTACAATAAGTGCAATAGCTTACAATAGAAATCCGTCGGGCAGAATTATCCCCCAATTATCGTTCTAGTTACGCCCCTGTCAGCATCGCACACATTTTATAATCAGTTACTACTTTAAAACTCTTTATCTCCATTTTAAGGAGGCATTTATTATACGCATGTTGACCTACCATTTCTCGGCATCCTACGTGATGAAATACTATGTCATCAATTGCTATATCCCCTCTCCACCCTCGGCCACGAATTGCCTCAATGACTATCTAGAAACGTAAGACGCAAGACATCATCACACTGTAGCTACTACTATAGCTACTACTATTCCCAATTCGAAAAAGACGAGATCCTAAGACTGAGCACCGCGCGCTTTTGTCGGGTAAATTTAGTCTTAAACCTCGGCCCCAACAATCGTGTGTCCCTTGCCCCAATGACTGAATTGGGCGTTTATATATTTTCTTTCTTCACCTGGTATGATAAACCGATGGGTATATTCACTTCAGCTCTAGTCCATTTCCTCCCTTGATCGCCTATTTTCGACCAAGCATATTGGTTCATATATCCGCTTTCTGTGAGGAACTTCACCCTCAGCTTGCCTGTGTCGCTGCCCCACATGTGATAGTAGAACGTGAGACAGGCTTGTCGAGCGTTCACCTCCGGGCTAATGAGCCTAGCCCGATGGTCCTGCCGTTGGGGATTCGATGCCTCGATGAACATATAGTGACCTAAAACACAGATTGATCTAAGTTACCCGAATGTCTACGTACGATTGTAAAAGACACGTTTTTGTGCGCAACTGTCGTGCACACATTGGAAGACGTCCAGGACATGGTAGATCCGAATATTTACATTCACGGTTAAATATGGTTATCAATATTGAGGGTTCAAAGACAAAAGCAATAAAATCGAAGGGTACCTGCTCTATTTTTGAGTGTGTGATCATGATTTGGTCCAGTTTCCGTGCTTTTGGTTCTTCCTTGGTTTCTCTGCCAGTCGAAATTGTCATTCGTCATCTGTGTCCACTCGCACAAGCCCTTCTCGAAATTACAGTCCAATGGATCTATACAGGAGAAATTGACGAAGATGAGCACAGTGCCACGTGAAATAAAGTAGTTCGGAATTCAATTCTTAGCTTTCCATTAAAAATGCATCCGTTGTATTGGAGATAGTACGTGTCTTAGGATGATGGTATCCTGCCACCATACATCGAGGCAGCAATATCTTCAGTTTTTTATGCAGTTAGTTTCTCTTTGTAATCGAGGATTAACTTTTACCTTTAATCATTTTCCTACCTGCAGGTGGACTTGCACAGGCAGGCTTGCGACAGTTTCTCCTCGACTCCGGCTCTGTGGTCCGATTGCAGCCACTTATACGTTGTCCTCGCTGATCAACACATATTACCTCTCGTGTCTGGCTGCCAAGGCCGCATGTCGCAGTGCACTGTTAAGATAATACAAACTTTGAGGTTGCGTTGTTGGAGCAGTGCTATTAAAGTGCCCCTGACACAAAATGCGATTTTTACACTGTGTAAAGGACTCGTGTGTCCGAGTATTTCGCTGAAAGAATTTTTCGATTTCATCAAAACGTCGCAATTTTAGAGCCGTTTGAAAGCCTCAAATTTGGGGTTTCCAGTGGTACATGTCCGTGTTATAAGGAAACTGGAACGAGGGTTATTTTTGACGTCATACAAGTGAGTCGGCTTTTGAGTGCTTTTGAGATATAACTATGTTCAGCTATATTCTGTATAAGCATACTAACTTATGTCTATCGTTGAGAGTTTTATGCGCATGACGCAGAAACCTGTCTCATTACGTGAACGCACATTTTAAAAGTTTTTTTGTAGCTATAAACATAATAACATACCCGATATTAAATATAGTTTCAGTGAGGATTTAATATATGCCCGTACGTAAATAACAAAGAACTATGGTGTAAAGTTACGTATTTTAAATTCGCGTCTTGGTCTCATATAAGTGACTCCGTACATTTATCTATCTGTAAAAGTATAAACAGACATTTCGCTTCGTGAGGAGATCGATCGGTTTCGCATTTTACACGTATAAAGACAAAAGACAACACACTGCATGATCACGGTCAAAATCAGTGTATTACAAATTCGGCATGTCGCGACTATAGGTCGAAACTGTGATGACTATTCGCTATATATAACCCGTCTGGCATTTCATACATTACACGCAGTTGTTAATGAGATCTTTCTGTGCCTTTTGCTTTTGGTAGGCTTCTGTCTATTCATTGTCATCTAGAGGCTTTTCACCACATGCTAAAGCGGGTACAATTCTGAGTCGTCATCGCGACTCATCATAGCATGCGCGCTTCAAATCGCGCTTCAAATACCCTTATTCTTCAGCATCTTCTCTTCCGACGATGCAACGTATAACATTTAACCTTAATCCTGATACCTAGTATAAAAATTGAATCCTGCGGTCGACGTGATTTGAAATAATGTGTATTAAAAACAGCATAGAACCCTAGGAAATACACTGTGAGTTTGCAGCGACTCACTTGCGTGACGTCACGAAAATCGCTAGTCCCAGTCTTCTGTTACGACGGCCATGGGTTCAAAAATATATCGATTCAAGAGGCTCTAAAATTTGTTCCTTTTTTTAAAATCGAAAAATTCTTTCACCATAACACTCGGACAAATGCGTACTTTCCATGGTGCAAAAATCGCATTTTGTGTCAGGGGCACTTTAAGACAACTTGTTTTAAATTTTTTCAGGGATGTTTGTTGATGGAACAAAAAAATTGTATATGTTTTTTGTTCTGTTAGAATAGCCACAACAAATTTAAATTGACTAGATCATTCACATGGCCAACATGCTCAAGCAGTTTTTTGTCCCGAAGATGGACTTTTTTTCGATCCCTGGTGTACTCCGGTTATGTGTGAAAAACAATGCGTACAATTCATGTGTGATCGTGTTTGATCGTAAGTGGTCGTGTGGCGGTCGTGCCTTAACAGGCTACTCATGGGTTCGATAAACCTGACAATTTTGTACTACATGAAAAAGGTAATTCGTCCGTACCTCAGTCCAGTTTCCAGTCGACCACTTGGGTTCGCAAACCTCCAAGATGCAAGCCTTCGTCTCACTTGGTTTCCATCCCCCGCAACGCGCAGGTGCAACCTGTTTTTTCCCAGCTAGTTCGACGCACGTGACTTGGCGCGTCATAATACCAAGAGAGCAAGTTTGCGAGCAGGTGCTCCACGGCCCAGGTAACCATTGATATCTGGAAGATAAATGGAACACGTTTTTGTAAGTCTGCTCAACGAAACTCACTATTTATTCACTTCTGACTGAATGCACTGGTACTTGGCTTAGCGGAAACAACGTAGTTGTAATACGGCTTCTTGTTAGAAACAAATTCGTGATGAAACGATGCTCCTTAATTGGTAATAGCAAAAATGGCACACATAAAACAAGATCATTGGATCTGATGGGAATGCCAAAGTAAGGTCCAATGAGTCATGCTTGATAGGAAACTAGGACTAAAAGATTTAAATTTCGCCCTTCATAGAACAGCTAGATCCAAAGGGCCCTTTCGACATTTATAGAACATTGAAATTAAATAAAATATATTTTGATTACATATGTAACTCACAAAAAATACTCACGCATTCTCACAAGGGTGTATATTGCAGTAACGGAATCTCTCCTTGACGTCCAAAGTCAAATCCTTGCAAAGCAGTCTGGGTTGTATTTGATCTCCAATTTTACAGAAATATTTTAGAAATGTCACTCCTATGAAAAATTTGGCCACATTAGAAAATGTCGGTTCCAAAATAAAGCTACTGACTGAGTTGATATGAACAGATCCTAGGGTGCAGTTGAATCCGCACTCTCCTTAACACAAAGTATTATTTTAACTCTACAACTAACATTAAAACTAACATTTAAAGTTATTTTGAACAATATTTAAAACGACGTTGGACTTAAATTTAGTTCAAAATGACCTGACTGAAGTCAAATAACACTTTAAAATAACAATATCATTTTCTAAATCATACTTTGAATTAGCTAAATTTGTAGCTAGAATGACACTTCGCGCAGTGCAGCTTGGACACTAAGAGTGTTTTGTTTAAGAAACTATATATACATACCCTTTCCGCATGAACGAGAACATGGTGTCCAATTATCTGTAATAACCCATCGAGGTTGTTCTTCCTGAACTGCTGGTGTTGGCTCGGGTGTGGCCTCTGGAGTTAAAGCTTCAACACTGACCGTAGGGCGGGTTCTCATTTCTGTGTTTTCTAGCGTCACTGCGCTAACTCCTGGGATTTCCCTTCCTGCTTTTATGTCCAGAAGGTCGAAATACTCGTATGTTACTTCGATTGGAGAATATCGTGTCCTTTCTTTTGCCTAAAAACAATAAATAATTAGCATTAGAATATGCAATGCACGTAATTTTGGCTTAGACAAGGTAATGTATGTCGACGGAGTATATTTATCATTTATAGACCCGGAGTGAGGGGGATTCGGCGAAATATTTCCAGAAGTGATAACATTACTCAAGCCTGTATTCAAAAAGCTCACTCATACTTACACTCATTGAGTGTGATATATAAATTTTGTTAATGCTAGTCAATGAGAAAGTTACTTTCGGAATTGGTGGAAAGATTTAAGGTAAAACACTGAAAATCAAGCCACTATTCGGCTTGAAATACCGCCATGGAAACGTTACGATAACATTAAGATCTCCCACTCAATGAGTTTGAGTGTGAGTGAGCTTTTAGAATACAGGCGTCAGGGTCGTAGCTAGACCGCTTAATTGCGTGGTGTATATTCATATATTCATGTTTATATACCATGGGAACAATAGCATACAAAAGAAATCATTCGGGCATAAGACGAATATATGAATGTGCACCCCCCCCCCCCAATTAAGCAATTAATCATTTTATGAAATATAATAACTATACGGCGGATAGCGCTATCCAACTTTCGTACAACAGGTCCAGACTTGTACACATGCAGCACTCACCTTTATATTGAGAAAAACGGGTTTTTTCACGACGCCCAAGGACTTGATCACTTCTTCACCATGTTCATTAGTGTACACATATTGGGTTCCCCCGCCATAATAAATAGCTGGCGGTGATTCTTGAACATCTCCGTTGATAATATGTTCAATATCGTCAGGCTCGTCCGGGTCTCCTACACTTAACACTATATAAAATGAAAATTATTTCAATGTTTTTTAAATTTTTATTTGTAATTCTTTGTATACTTGTTTCTCGAATCACATACATTGAACGTTATGCATTATGGTCTTCTTACCTAAAAGATTATTTGAATTTGAGCGTTTCTTGACGTTTAGACTAGATGATCCTTTTGGAACATTCAACACTACCTCCATATCTGATAAAAAGAACATATGCATGCCTACGATTAGCTAACGATCTTTAGCTATATCCTGCAGAATATTCCTTACGAATTTATTATTCATTACGAAAGAAGAAATCGCAGAAATATTCATTTTAAGATCTATTCTTGGGGGAGATGGAATTGGTCGAAAGGCAAGCATTGGTCAGACTGGAAGAATGTGGTGACATGGAAATTGAGATGTCTTCCTGATATTTAAGACTCCCAACCTCCCTCTCCAACTCTTAGGTTGTGGACGCTATAGAAATAGTAGTGCTAAATATGAGAGAATTTTACCCTCGTTCTGAGTAAGCTTTATATTTCCTGCGTTGAGTTTACATGAAGTTCCATTCCCATCACAAACACCGCAGCGGTCAAACTTCTTTCCAGAATCAAGAACATTGTCACAACCAACTTTCTAAATGAATTAAAGAAAAAGTTTTGATTAAAGACTTTCCACAACCAGAGAATGTACACACGAGTGGAGAATGTGTTAGTTTTAATAGTTTAACCAGTTTAATTCCTTTTTACATACTCTGCACACGCCATTAATGCAAATATCCAACGCTGAGTCATCGCTGCAACGAATTCCGTTCTTGAGAATATTGTTCATGTATATTCTCTTGTTCGATCCACCTCTAATACAGGACACTTCACAAGCGCCGTTGGCTGGATATAGGAATATTAAAATAGAAACGGTCATATACTACTCTTACAGATGTACCTACAATGTCGCAAAGCATATCCCACGAATTAACATCTACATTCAACTTCTACAACTTGATTAGTGATTGTAAAGGTATTCTTCTTTACCTTCAGTGTTGTTGGTATTTTTATCATCACAAGATCCAACAGTAAACGTTATATCGTCCAACGCAATGTCACCTAAGTAGCTGTCTTTACGATGAGCTTCGATAACAAGCTGTGGAAATATAAAATCATTTGGTCAGTTATTATGTACTGAATGGATAGCAATACCAGTCACGAACTACTCTCCACTGAAACGGCATTACTCTGCTGCTCCAGGGCTGAGGGCTTATATACACAAAAGGTAACGCCTGCAGAATTCAAACATGATGGTCGATTTGAATTGCCCATGTACGTTAATACAAGTATAGCTATCAATTATTTTTTATCTATAATGGCACCATCCCAAACCAAATTATACGTAATTTATTTTTACTGTATTGTATAAGCTGGTCAAAAGAAGTGCTCCCAATATCTTTGCTCGTTATGAAATCGATTCACTTAATCTTTCTGATCTGCTCTATACCTGTCATATACTCTTCTTTTTATCGATATAGATTAGGCGTCACTCTTATTTCTCCGCTGTTATCATGGAGGATGATCCTATAGTGGTGGCTTTGTTTTCCTATCTTATTAGATTGGTAAGGCGCTGCTTTCTTAGATCAGTAGAGATTAGATCGGTATGCTGTACCATCTTCGAGTTTACAATATATCTCGTAATAAACTGTCATCTTTCAATTCAATTTATATTCGTTAATTTTATTGTTTCATAATTGTTCTCGACGATTTAGAATATAAACTTTTTAAAATGTTTTAACCACTTGAATACCCCTCTCCTCACTCACATTATATACACTGGATTCCTCGATATCAATTTTGGCGTTCAACCAGCGGTCTCCTTGATTCGTGTGTTTCGCCCACAAAATCCGGCGACCTTTGGCATTTATCCTCACGACTTTCAGACTCCCCATACGATGACCAAACATGTGGTAATAGAACGAGAGACACGCGCGACGAACAGCCATGTCGGGGCTCGCTATAGCCGCCTTGTCCTTATTTCTGACGGGGCTGGACGACTCGAAATAGATGTACTGACCTGCGCACGAAAAGAAAAACGATGTCAAGGCCCAGTATTGCCTCTAAATGGCAAGCAGCCAATGTAAAACGAGGTCATTATAACCTCATCGAGGTAAAGACAGTTTCTTATCTATCATTTCTCTTTGTACAACAGGTAACAACCAAATGAAAACAAGGCTTAACATTACACCTTATCTGTTCGTTTAACAGATGACATTTAAATGATGGGTTAAATTTTTAATAACTTACCACGCGTCGAGTTTGTAGTGTGGTCAACCGAGGGTCCAGTTTTGGAAGTTCTCGTTCTGCCTCGGTTCAAGGTCCAGTCGCGTTCATCATCTCGTTTTAGGTTGATCCAGGCGCAGAAATTATGCTCAAACGTGCAATTCAAATTCACTACAAAATAGTGATATAACCTCAATTCACGAAGGCAAAATAATGATAGAATTTTGAATGATCGATTTCAGGTTTTTGGGAATTGCTGTTTAACTACTTTGCGGCTTAATTTCTAATTATGATGTTTAGTATGAGAAGTAATATGTTTATTTGTCACTAATAAAGAATTTACATCTCAATTTATACCTGAACTTTCGTCATAGTATGACCACGGTCGGTATTTATCTCTCTTCCTACCGATTTCAACGCATTGGTTCCTCAGATTGTTTTTGTACAGTGGTATTGTGTGTTCACAGTCCTACAAGAGATTGAGATATCTTGGTAACCAAACACTTCACACCGTCAGGTGCATGCTTATGCTTGTTAGGCCTGCTCTAGATACACATTGAATTATTCAAACATAGGGAAAGTGAGAAGTCTTTTTGGGAATTTCCATCCAAATCAATTAAGTTCTAACCATGCAGAAACAACCATTTTCATACTGCTGAGCGCGCAAGTGTAGTACACACACAAGAAGAAGATTCACAAGAAGATAAAGTTTCACAAGAAGATAAAGCCTCAGAAAAAGATAAAGTGCATGTAGTTTGAAAAAGGATGAGGTTGTCATTGGCAGAATTTGTACCTTAATTTTGCAGACGTCTTCTTCCATGGAACTTCCGACACAATCTTTACCGCCATGGCGGGGTCTGGAAAAGTTAACAGAAATTAAAGAATGCAAAATATTCATGAACAAAATACTTCAGTTGTCTGTCATTATCCTTGCATGTTCACAATTTGCAAACTATATCAGGATTGTTTATCTGTATGTTGTAATTGCTCATTGTATACGCTGTAAATGGTTTATTTTAACGTAGGCAAAACGATTTAGTCCTTAGACGCATTATTTTTAAACATGAAAGTAACATTACTCACGCTGGACTATCGCAAGTTCGTCGACGAATGCGAACGCCAAGACCACACTCTTGCGAGCATGCTTCCCAGTTCTGCCAATCAGTCCAGTTGCCGTCGATGGCTTTCGGTTTTATTATCTTCTCGGTTCTTCTAACGCACCGACCTGCTACACACCACTGCATGAAAATAGTATTGCGCTATTTTATGAAACATCGACCTCGATGATAATATGGAGACTGAATATTTGTCTAAACGAACTTTCGCAAAGAAAATACATTCCTTTTGATAGTCCTTATTCATACTATTAATACCATTAGACGAATTTCACACAAGATATAACACGTCGACTTTATATTATATTCTGTTGTGCTCGACGGTTTTTTTTAAACGTTTATGAGATATGGATATGAACCCTCCACCCCCCAAATCACATCTAGTTTTGACCCTGAGGCAGAATTTAAAAGGTGACATAAAAAAGTTTAAAAGGTCACGAAAAAAGTTTAAATATAGACACCAGATTGCTGCTAAGAAACTGGATAGTTGTCAAAGCTATCGTTTCGCAGGTTTCATATGAAAATTTTCTTCATTGATGGATTATTGGATTATAATGATTGTATTATAATATCAACGATATAATCATAACAATTGATGACGATAGCAATCAATACAAGCCGATGATAATAAGTTATCATCGTCGTGGTGATATAATCAATGGAGATATTATGGTATAGGTTTGTTTTACCTTTCCTGTGGCACATTCGGTTCCATTCAGTGCAGGAGCTCTCATACTTTTACATAAATGATTATGAGGTGGAGGCATGTTACACCACAATATTTGACAAGGATTTCGATGAAACTAAAATGAAACATTTGAATTGAACGTTTTTATCAACCAATTCGGTATACCTCATAAAATATTACTATAGATCAAACCAGAAGCGTAACGGCCTCTTTTTTACTACTTTATTACTCACAGCTCTGCAGAAAGAGTATCCTTTGCCAAAATCAAACAGGCACTGATCATCGACGGAGTAATGAACACCAGGATACCTGTGTAGGTATGGGAGGTCATCTTCGTGCTTTTTACCTGGTTTATCGTTCAAGCAAGGGAAATTCCTACAAAAGACAATATTAACATTATGCTGACGTTCCCTACAAAAGACAATATTAACATTATACTGTCGATAAACAATGCTGCATAATCACTGAACTGGGAAGAACATTTGTTCCCTGAGTTTTCTTTTACTTTTGATACCATAGTGTTTAGGCTCATGCATTGACTAATCCTCGCAATGAATTAGGAATCGATTGGGGAAGAATTCAAGATTGAGCTTAGTTCATTTTAAACTCTAGCAGTAGCGTAGCCAGTCTGACTGGCTACGCTACTGCTAGCCTGCTATGTAAATTTCGAGTTATTATTATTATTTATGCCTTCAGAAATTTATTGTTGTCACAGTCAATGAACACCAAAATATTAGCATAGTGGGATAAAACGTCAGGCTGGCTATGCTACTGAACTCTAGTCATTTGTTTTGCAAACATGCCATTTCAATTATAACTTATCCAAACACTCTTTCAGGTCGAAACTCGATGAGTAGATGTTTCTGAAAAAAATAACTCATTGTACCTGATACTTCCCATTAGCTCCTTGCGACTACACGAGGACCACATGAAGCGATTTAACCTGGATTGAACTAGTGGTGCCATGATGCTGCCATGGCTAGTGACCGATGAGCATCTGTTTTTCTCTCCATCGTGTTCCATGCCGAGTCTGAGATGTACAACAAAGATGATTAGAGAACGAATATCGTTTGAAATATACCATGGCATGGAAATCTTTTTTTAACAAGTAAACTGTGTGTTTGTCCGACAACATAGTGTGAAAATACACGTGGAGATCTGGACTAATGCCGCTGAAACTTTTTCTCTAGTGAAACAAGTTTTCCAGGTTTTTCAAAATGAACACGAGGATGGTTAAAAAACCATTCTATTCCATTATTTTCAAGAAGCTTGGCAAGGAAATATGATTTCCGAGTTGTTCGTTCTGTTATTTTGTATTGAAGGAGGACTCAATTGGGAATTCAAGTCTTACAGTCAAGTCAAGAAGAAAATACTTACGAGTGACCAGACTCGTGAGCAATAATAAATGCGGATGGAAAACCATCTTCTTGGTTGAGAGTGCAACTTTTCGTCGGGTGACACATCCCACGGACCGGGGCGTAACCAGCTGAAGAACATTGAAAGGCGTTTTAGCTCTTGGTTCTCAATCATATACAGTGACATTCGTTTAATCCAATGTCGAATTATGTAATTTTGTGTGCATGACTATGGAGGATACCAAGTCTCATTTTTTATTTGTATGTACCACTCACCTGCAGTACCAAATACTTTTCTATGGTAAAAAAAAGAAGGAAAAATTTAATAAGCCTTACTGTTTGTTTAGGAGAAGTACTTGCTTAAATTTTTCTATACTTTTCATAGGAATCTAGTGGCATTTGGGAGATATTTTCTTCCCAAAACATTTATCGGGTACTTACCTTGTCAAGAATGTTGCATGATCGTGGAATTTGGGGTCCGCGTCGCTTCGACCAATTCTTATATTCAACATGAATTGGCAAGTAGACATAAGACTTTTCGCGGGATTATCTTTTTCTAAGGTAACGATCTCCTGTAAATGTAAACAAAACCATTCTCATAATATAACCCGAGAGCATGCAGTGTGGCAGCGTCTTCAAACAACTTATCAAATGTGGTATAACAACTGCCTAAAATAGACAAAACACTTCTCGACGTTTCGACCTGATGGACTTCGTCAGGAGAGTTAGTCCTAATCATACTAACTCTCCTGACGAAGGCCCTCAGGTCGAAACGTCGAGAAGTGTTTTGTCTATTTTAGGCAGTTGTTATACCACATTTGATGAAGTCATTCTCATAATAGTTTAAACACAAACAAACGAAAATTTACAAGAGTATACAAGAATATACTTTTGTCCATTTAGAAACAATTATTTTTTCTAACAAGGCAATATCGTGAAGATAAAAGTAAACTACTTACAGGATCTTTATGTAACAATACAATTCTAACAACAACGTAGTCAATGCTAAATCCAAGGCTTTTATGCTTGAAGATGAATGAAACCTTGAATGAAAATGGTGGAGCATACATGAGAACTTCGTAATAACATTACAACTAGTGTTGTCCACTCTTGTCTGGCAACTAATATCAACAGGGGTGAATTATTTTCGGTTCTTCATAGAATATAATGAAAATAGAATACACAATAAACACATACCACGTTCATTAAAGCCAGGACATAACGTGATACTCTTTGCTTGCCATGAAACTCGACAACAGATTTATCTGCAACAGCCATGGATTCGACGTATTTCTTTCCAACCTTGGCGCGTATTTCTTTCTCACTCGTAGGCTTAAGTCTTATTCCACCTAGACACACAAGAAAACGAAATTTAAAACATACACATGTTCCATTCAGTTTCAGAAAAAACTAAAAAAATACAATATTCCTTTCAGACAACCATATGTTTACTATACGGTTAATGTAAGTGTTATTATTGCCCTTTCAAGCGGGCAAAAAACGAACTAACACCGACAATACCGAACATACTGCAACTTACGTGGTAAAGTGATTAGAACGTTTGTCCTCCGTGATTCTTTATTCTTTCTTGGTGTGTACTCTCGTTTGTTTCCCACCAAAAATTGTTTATTCGTGTCTTCATCCAAGGCCATCCATTTGTGTGATGTAAAAGTGTTCACAAGTCTCGAAGTGCCTGGCATCAAGGTGGCAAAGAATGTAGGTTTTCTTCGTCTGTCCACCCACATTAACTATAAAGTAAGAAGTAAGATGGAAAACTTGCAATCAAAATCCTATACCCTAAAAATCCGAACCCCCCTAACTCAGGTTGGTTTGAAACGTGTATGCTTTGTGAATGGAGTTAGGGATAAACGTGATAAAAAACTAGATTTTTGCACGACAAAAATTGTGCCGTTTTTAGCCATATTATTACTTATAAACAATTCTATATGAAATTTAACCTTTCTTCTTCCTACCTTAACGATCCTTTTGCTTCTATTGATAAACTTGAGGAAGCTAAATTGAATATTTCTACGCCTCGGAGCTCGCCTTCTGGAGGCTCTCGAATTTGCTGGCTCTAAAATGAACAGGGAGAGACGATCATTAAAGACACGGAGAGTGACAACATGGTTCGATATTCCCTATATCAATGTAATGCAAAGTTTTTGTTCGTTTAATTCAACTCACCTATGCGAGTAATACCCAGTCCATCAAATCCCATAGCATAATTTGGCAACTGACTATGCCTGTAGACTAGATGTGGTCTACCAGTTCCATTCAGCAGAGCTTCATCGACGTACGAGATATTGAGCAATGGTTCAATATATAACATATCCTCCTCAGTATTCACCACACCAGACTGGAATTCAAAGATTCAAAAAAAACATCTGTTAGCAAAACACAAACGATTTAGTAAAAAGTTTAAAGAACAAAATAAAATAGCTAATAAAAAAGCATAGTGAATGTCTGAAAAACGTGTTCAACCAATCAATCAAGGCTATAGGACCACTGACCATTGGGGGAGAGGGTTGTCACCCCATTAAAATGATCTGTTTGTATCAATTCATATAGAAAACTTGATCAAACTGCCACTGGGGAATTTGATTGCATTATAAGAGTCTGATCGACCTCCATAAATCCAATTGTTGATTGAAGCAAATTTTGTCCGAATTTTGTCAACAGGCGACTTTTTTTATTCAAATGTACGCCTATGAAGAATACTAACATAAAATAATGGAGCATTTTTCATTCAAAGATTTTTTCCGATCACTTTCACTTGAAATGTATTCAGTCAAGCCCGACTAATGAGATCTTCTCCGCTTACTGTACCTACGATATTGGATATAAGCGATTGTGCCGGCTACATCTCAAAACAAAAGATTTAAACAGTATCTATAAATGGTTGTCAAAGTGGTCTGAGTATTGCTAGGAAAGTGAAGCTCGAGGGTGAAGCTGCGTTTTCATGCTTAAATAATCTTATGGACGTATTTTGTACTTTATTTCACATATATAGTCATAGCTCAAACGAAAAGCTTTAACGCTCGTTTCCTTTCAGTATAAAAACTAGTTTCTGTCCGTGCACTGTCTTCATGAAAAGCATCTATTGCAGTATTCAGTTTCTCTTCATTTGTCGATTGATTGCAATTATCGAGAATTGTATTAAAAACGCGTCTTTCAGTGAAAGTTAGCCCACACTTTTGCGCTTAGGCGAATTCAGGATTCAGATTTTAGCCAACATGCAGGGATAACAGGAATTGATTGCATTACTGGCTGCATACTGGTCACGTTTTCTCATGTTTGTGAATATTTTTTTTAGAGATGGGATGCTTATGCTCGTGTTTGCATCCGTCCGTTTTGCGTGTCAAATTTATTAGTGTTCATTTCAAAATTATATGTAATATGTTGGCGAAATTAAAATATTACTTTTAAATTACAAAGTGCCGCTGCATCACATCTCATGCGATTATATCATAATACTATAAGGCACTAATGAAACCTGCTGATCGCTTGTTCCCGAAAGCATTATTGTTGCCGAATTCTCACGCAATATTGTGTTAGAACGAGAAACCATTTCGCAGCGAACATAAACTGCAGTAATATTTCACGAATGAACGATCGCATAGTATAGCAGTTAGTTAGCTCTGAATTGCATAGAGAGTGGTAAATTTAAGTATGCTTCAAGCCTTCAAGAATATATAATTTGACAGCCAGAATTTTTTCAATGTTGTCCAGATTAAAACAATCTCGAACAAGTGCTTCATTTTGCTCTTATTCCAATCAGGTTTCGTAATGTGTCACTGTTATAAAAGAAAAATAGAAATCGTTCAATCACCGCCAACCACTTTATCACTCCAAAACTACCATGTAAAATGCATGGACAAACATTGCAGCCGTTTCTATTTGCTACCAGCGAGGCAAATCTATCTGCTAAGCATGAATTGTCCACTCAAAATATTTATACATGATAACCCATGAAACGGAGCCGCTCATCTCAAAATTAATGCGTTTTGGCAAGTCGTTTACACGAGATATTAAATTTGTGCGATTCATGAATCTTATAAACAAAGTGGAGAATAATTGGCCAGAAATGAAAACTTCACAAGTGTAAAATCGAACAAGTTGAGATGAATTGACGACAAAAGACAGCTTGTCAGTATGGTTTGGACACAAACATGATGCATTTTTCCTAGTTATATACATGCAGCAAAGTACAGTAGAAACACCGGCTTAACTGGATTTATCAACACATTTAAAAGGTTCGTTATTACTCGAATATAATTATTATCCTTAACATCGTTGTACGATAAATCGAAATTTCTGTGTCGTCGAATAGTTTTGGATTCAAGAAATGCTTTGGTCAAGCTTATCTTACAATCCTTCCATAATTGTATGGATGACACGTCACTCTAAACTGTAACATGGTTAAACTGTTTGTCCATAACGCGTATCTATTTGGATTGTAGCGAAGATACCAATTCTACTTCACACGCTTGTTAGATCATGATGTCATCTCGACTAAACTATCTAATCAAGAAAACATTGCAAGTCACCGACCTCGTTTGCGATACAAATGCGATTAAAGTGAATTTGGCGGCCATTTTGTAAAACGTCATTGTAGCTATAGCAACGGTTGCTAAACTAATTATTCGATAGCTTTTTGCTTTCTGTTTTCCCAAAAATATATTTAGTTTTGCACTTCTGGTCAAACATCAGTTCGGGTATTTAATTTACCTGCTAAATTGTGCATTATGGACCGTATAAAAAACTTGAAGGAGCCACCTTAAAAAGCCCATTGTACAGCTGAACAAAGAAAGTACTGAGGTTGAGGCGAAGCTGCTTGAACGTTTACAAATTATTCTCTAATGCAATAGTCTAACTTGACAGAAATGATTTCCTTGGTCTCACGCGACGTTTTAATTTGACGAGGCCAATTTTAAAAAGTCAGATCTTGTCAATGAAAATGAAAAGTGTAACGAATCGCTGTGATTCAGTGGCGTACGGAGACGATAATTGGGGAGGGGGGCACATATTCATATATTCCTTTTGTGCAAGATTAATTTCTTTTCAAATCCATTGTCTTTACAGGTCTGTTAACATAAATATATGAGTATGTGCACCCCCCAATTATCGTCTCCCGTACCGTGATTTGTGTTTCATCGAGTTATCTAAGTGACCCCACTGACAGTTCTGGACTGTATATTACACAATATCCTGTGAAATTACAAATCTGATTGCACAATGCAGGTTGTAAGTCACTTCAGAAGTTGTAGTTTAAATAGGGTTTTAAATCTCTTGTTGGAAAGATGAAAACATTTTGTTCTGGCAGATTCAGAAACCCAATTCTGATTTATTCATTAAAAGTTGTAAGTCAGAAAGAAATCAGGTTTTAACTCTCTTAATTATTGCCAAAGATAAAAGCATTTTGCTCAGGTATGGTTCAGTCTTCAAAAACACAATTTAAGAAAGATAGGTCAAGGATGGATATATATATATATATATATATTATAATATATATATATTAATATATATATATACACCTATATTTATCATTGTAAAATTGCTTGCATGGTGCCCACAGACCTGGCTGGGCGATAGAGACAGTTTAACCAGCTAGGGCCGGTTGTATGAAAGCCGGATAGCGCTATCCACCGGATATAGTGGTTTTTACAATCGCTTCAAAATAGCCGGTTATTTGCTACAACTTCGATTAAATCTTAGTATTCCTAAATCAAAGATCCTCTTTAATAATTGTTGCTTCCAAGCTGAAATTTTATTGCTTTTCGAGCATTTTTAGAACGGTTGAAAAAAATCACTATCCGGTGGATAGCGCTATCCGGCTTTGATACAACTGGCCCCTGGCAAATAACGAACGACAAAGAATAGAAATAAATCGCTAGTGTAACTAAAATATATGCTTTCTGACGTCAAGGTGACAACACAATTTTGCAATACGCAGACAATGGGCAAACATTGGTCGAATGAGCTCTTTATTAATGTCAACTGAAATCCTTTAGCGACTACAAAGGCCCGTTAATTTTGCATCAAGGCGCCAAGATTACGAAATGACCGACAAAAGATAGGATAATTAAGATTTACTATTTTTAACTCCCTTCGTTTTATTATTCATTTGACGAGAGCCATTTGAATGAATAATGTTTGAGTTTTTACTTATTACAATTACAGCGCTTTGGTTTGATTGCAAGTTCTCATTTCGAAGATTCAAAGCAGCTATTAAAGGCATTAAACATTCACGGGGACGTCGGGGAGTGTGTTTCGCAGTGAAGTTTGTTTCATTTCGTCAACAAATTTCCACACGGCGTACAAGGTAAGATGCTCAGAATACGAACGTTTATCAATAACCAAATTTCTCACTCAAGCTCGAACCGCATAGCTATTACCGCATGAACTATATATATTCCAGTTTTGATACATTTGCTAAGGCAATAGATTGTTATCTAGCTCGATCGCTTTTCACGTAATCAAAGTTCTTATCGTAAAAACCTGACGAAAGCACCATCGGAAAGGAAAAGTTTCGTTTCGGACAGCAACCTTTCAATAATTTTTCTCTGGTTTCAGGAACACGGAATTAAAGGAAAGTATTGTTTCTCAGAGGTGCTGTTTTTGATAGAATCACACCGAAAGATAAGGTTAAAAAGCCGCTACAGACGCTCTTCTGACTGGACGACATCTGCAAAGTCGAAAGGCATCTTACTCGCAATGAACAACACCACCTCCGAACACCTCAACACCGTCTTTCAAAGTGTTTTCCCGACTAATGGTACGGCAGCGATGAATTCAACAAGAAGTAAAGAACCTCTTGAACTATATGCAAGTCTTGCAAATATAATCGCATACTCGATAGTGTATGGTGTTGTGTCGATCATTGCGTTAGCAGGTACGAATGCTCATTCTTTACTGCACTTTATACAGTAACCATGACAAAGATAACCAAGCCAAAATGTCGGTAAATATAACAAAAATTGAGTCATGTTCGACTGCAACTTAGCTGCAACAGTATACAACTGAATGCATGCGTGTTGAACATCGGCTACTTGACACAATTTTATCTGAAGAATGAAAAGTAGATGTTAGGAAGAAACGAATCGCTTGCGAAGCTGTATCATTTCCCAACACAAGTCATTTTCATGACAGTCACCTATGAATGCCTCCTTAAAGGTTTACGGAACATCCAGCTCAGATCCTCGTTAATCCTATGCCAACGGAAGTCTTTAAATCAAGCTGAGGGTAGTCTCACCGATCATGCAAGATTGAACAACAGCTATATAGGGGCTTGTTGTATGAAGGCTGGATAGCGCTATCCATCGGATAGTGTTTTTTTTTAATCGCTTTAAAATCGCACGTTGTTGTATATAATTTTTATTAAATCTTAGCATTCCTAAATTCAGGATCCTCTTCAATAATTATTGGTTCCAAAGTTGAATTTTTTTTGCTTTTCGAGCGTTAATAGAATGGTTGAAAAAATCACTATCCGGTGGATAGCGCCATCCAGCTTTTATACAACCGGCCCCAGAACCTTAGCCTTGAAGCGAGTTTTCTAAGCTGGTTTTTGTAACAAAAGACGCGATGCACCTTGTGACCACTTTTGGCAATCAATAATAGGGATGCATTGATTATATAGCCAAAAATTTCAGAACAGAAGTTTGGAATATGTTTTTCTGTCTTTATAAAGCTTGGTATACTGTATATTCCTCGTAATTTGAACAAAATTCAAATTCTTTAATTTTTCCGTGCAACTGAAACATCTATAGCGTTTGAACCCTGTATGCTCAGCACCCAACTCATCCATGATAGTTGCTATACACTTCATTTTAGGAAATATAATGGTATTTATTGTGATTATCGCGAACCGTTCGATGCACACGGCTACCAACGTCCTTCTCCTCAACCTGTCCTTATCTGACATCCTCTTCGTTCTGTTCTCGGTGCCCGGCCTACTTGCCATTGAAATTTGCAATGATCGCTGGCCGTTTAGTGAACCGATGGGGAAAATGACGCAACAAACCACGATCCTCGTTGCTGCGTCATCCGTTTTTACCATGGTGGCGATTGCCTTCGAGAGGTGGGCACGCTTGGAATTATGTCACTAGCACTTGACCGGCTATGGCAAGACTCGATTTGATTAGATCACCATACATAAGCAAATATCACTATTTCATAAATAATATATCAGTATTTAGGAAATATCGGTATTTCATAAATGATATTCTTGGCAAAATATCTTAGCTGTTTGCATATTATGATCACATGAAGTTGGTGCTGACACATTTCAATGTGTCGTATTTAATACAACCAATTGCATTAGTTCCGGAGGCACGTCCGCAAACGACGAAACTATTTTTGAATTTCCACATTGACAATTATCTTCCACGTTGCGGAGACAAAGAAAATTAGCACTAAAATTTCATTTTCTGCATTCTTGCCTCTAGATTTCTGGCGGTTGTTTACCCGCTAAAGCAGATGGCACGGAAAAAGAAGACAACAATTGTTGTGACTGTGGTTATCATTTGGATATGTGCCATCGCGCTGTCGATCCCTTTCGCAATCTACACAGAAAACATTTCCCTCGTAGTTCCTGTGGAACGCGACGGCAAAATCGTTAGCGAAGAGGTATTTGTAACTCGAAATTTCTATTAGCACTGTACAGGATTGTCAAGGGGGGTTACGATAAGGTTTTTTACCATCTCTTTATGGAATGATGAAGGTCTTAGTCACTCACTATCCATACACTTTTCTCTAGATTGTTCTTTTAAGCACGACTTTTACCAAGGATCAAAATAAAGCATATGTCACGATTACATTTATATCCATCAACGTCATCCCGATAATGCTCTTGGGCTTCCTGTATGCGCGCATCGTGTGGAAACTTTGGAACCCGGATCAACGTCTAACACAAGAAATCGCAACCCCTTCCAAACACCAGAAACCTAAGCATTTTGTGGAAAAGACGCGTCGAAAAACTACCATAATGTTACTGGCAGTTGTGCTGGTGTTTTTCACCTGCTTTTTCCCGTTCAACATACTCGGTATGTTGCTAGCGTATGGGGACTCAAGAGACTTCAATTTCGACATCCTGAGGCATGTGAATTCCGTTACTCGCGTTTTCCTCCTCGTCAACAGCGCCTCCAATCCTATAATCTACAACTTCCTTAGCGAGAAATTTCGTAAAGGATTTCGAAGCATCTTCACATGTCGTTGGCATGCACTACGTCGTGTCTCTCCTTCTGGGGTAACCGAGACTGTTTTGACGTAAGCAAGCCTGTCAGAGGAAGCACCTAGGTGGGTGGGTATTTAGGTGGGGAAGGAAATAGGAAGAGGGTGAATGAAAGTGCAAAGTACTTGAGGATTTGAGGTATTCCAAGAGAATGAAAAATGTAGATAATTATTTAAGTCCCATCAATTCCTGTTTGCATGGTTTACTCGCACGCTACGAGCGGTTTCGTATAAATAAATGCTTCACATTGATTCCCGGAAAAATTTACGACAGCAAGACAAATATTAGTACGCAAAGGATTTTTAAAAATGAACTGCTCTGAATTTTTTGCGGAACTAAGCAAACTTTAGGAAGAACGAATTAGGATGTATACTTTTTCGGTACGTATGCTTGCATGACTTGTGAGATTATAGACGTTTATATAGCTACTACTCTGTTAATTATAGTGTACATTTCTAGGAACGAGATACGAAATATTGATTGTCAATATAATCCAATATTTTCGAATGATATATTCGAAATTCATCCGCGTAATCTAAGACCGCAATTATTCCGAGCCTCGTTGACTTGTTCACTTAAATTGTATTGTATTGTATTGTAGCCAAATTCTAAATTTCGTTGTATAGTATTATCTGGAAACAACCTTGCATACATTAAGCACTTACCAATCCATCGCAATCGCTGACAGCAGCTTCGAATTTATGAGGAATTGTTTTGCCTATCAAATAGCAGTGTTCCTCCATCTCAGAGCTTTCCAATGTACCATTGCCATAGTAATGTTCAACTTTGAAATCCGGACCAACTAGATGTTTGTTTATGCGTAACTTCAAGTGGTAATCCTGACCATTTGCCCTGAATTTATAGTGGAAACGATCGTTGTCGTCTGCTACGTTTATCGCCCTTCTCCGTCTACGTCTGCTAGAGCCGTCAGTAAGGTAACCTAAGTGAGCTTTTTCGCCATCAGTTATTGTAGGAAAATCGATTTCATAGCTTCGTAAGCTCCTTATCAAAACACCTGAAATTAAATAATAAATGGAATTTAATTTCAATGAGTGGCAAAGGAGATGGGAAACATATATAAGCTATAAGGTCAGGTAACTAAGAAAGGATGAATTTATTATTCGTACCAAAAAAAACTAAATCATTCCCTTCCCCCGTTAATGATGCATGCACGATTTATTTTTTTTCTAGGAATGAAAGTTGAAGCTCTGACTAAGCTAGAAATCAACGTAATAAATTTTCGCAAGCACTCGTGAACAGGGCCGTAGCTAGACCGCTTAATTGGGGGGGTGTATATTCATATATTCATGTTTATATACCATAGGAACAATAGCATACAAAAGAAATCATTCGGGCATATGACGAATATATGAATATGCACCCCCCCAATTAAGCTTCTAGCTACGGCCCTGCTCGTGAATAACAAAAAATTACAATATTCAATAGTGAATTTCGTGTATGTTATAAAACTATGCAAAGAGTTACAAATACGTTGAAGTTTAGCCCGTTTTTGTGGGTAGCCCGTTCGCGGGCTAACCACTATGCTACACGCAAAAAACGATGTGCGATGATGCATGTCTGTCCGCCGAGTTTGTTTATCTACGAAAGAGACTGGGCAAAGCCGAAATTTTGTCAGCCTGATCGGTGTAAACTGGCTTCAACTTTCAGATAAATTAATCGCAAAAATGGTATTTCATTGGTATTTCATTGGTATTTCATTGCTTATTCTTATGTCTACTTTGTTAACTGTATCCAACTAGCAAACTAGCCCATTTTTGCTTTTGCTTATATCATTAGAACGTAAAACTAAGCATCATGCAGTTGATTTCCCCGCCATTATTGCAGCTTGTCATTTGACATCGAACAAAACTTGAAAATCTTTGCCAATGCTTTGGAGGCTACCCACATGTATGCATTGCATACCTATTTTTAACTGTTTTTCCTGAAGAATGATATTTAACTTGTGCTTAGCAACAGAGGGAAACTCTCATCGCTAAAATTAAACTGCCCAAAGGCATCTGTTCGCCAGTGAGTTTTTGTAATCAAATTTTTTGTATCAAGCATTTAACTATGTTAATTCTTTCGCAATTTACGAAGACGACCATGTGAAATCCATGTAAGCATGAACCATTTCGGAATTAAATTTTGTTGAATTTTAAATTTAGCATTCATGCATGGAGTGAATTGCCAACCAAATTGACGAGGCTGAGAACATGTACGTATTACGGGTTGTGACGTCATCTGGAGGGATGGAATAGATTGATTGTATATATAGTGGTCGGATTACAGAATCATATCATTCTTACGGTGCGCATCCATCGTCGAGGACATTATCTCAGAGAGCATAAAAACAGCACCTTGGCGCCTCGTAAGATAGCAAGCATTTAGGCAAACGATTAACGACTGCATTTAACAGCACGATACTTGCAGAAAAACGGCACCCACCAAAAATAGAACAACCATGCAGAAGCCGCTAGAAATGCTGGTCTGAACGAGCAAAGCCTCGAATTGATCCGTGAAAAAACTGTGAAAAATTCATGATCGAAGCTGGCAGCATGATTAATCAATGATTTGAAAATCGCATACAAATTCATTATCTTTGATGAGCTATGGTTGAGCTTTCCGTCCTAAATAATGTTTATTTTTAAAATTACTTTCAATGCTTCTAAAACTACATTCGGGTCCAAGTGGCGCACACGACTTGTATTTTTGTATAAAACATTTGATTGTGAATCGTATAAACGTGACACAGCCGTCCAAGTTGTGAACTGTCTAACAGGTGAAAAATGTGGGGCAGTTCTAACTCATGTTCCAGAAGATCCAATATGGCCATAAGCCGGCAAATTTAGCCGATGAATTTCTTGAACAAAAGGATTCAAAGTGATTCATTCTTCAACATAAGATTTCCGTCTTGTGGGTCTATAACTACATTGTAATAATCCTCGCTAGAAAACACATTCTTATCTCACACACGCCCGAGAAGGTTTTATTATTGTTACTATAATACTGACGACGTGGCAGGAAATGAGTAATGGTCGCAGAGGTTATTAAAGACAATTATACCAACAACCGTGCGGCTACGCACACATGGCCCATGTGGCGATTCCCTCGCAGTAATATGACAAGCATAAGCACGAGATGATTTAGTTGTAGGCCTATATAACGAAAATCAATCTCATCGAATACCTTCTTTTCGGAAAACTCGGCTTGTTAAAAGGATTAAAGTTAAAATTTAGCATTGGAAAAGGATTTTTTAGTTTTATTCAGCATTTTTTAACACTTTAACAGTTTATACAAAAGTGCGAGTCGAGAAACCATGGCCATGTAGATTTTTATTTTACTACTATCTTTCTTTTTGTTTCCAGTTCGTTGTTCGTCTGCATTACTACTCTTCGGGAATCGATACTACTTCGCTCGGATATTTGATATTTGACGTGCTATTATTTGAAAATTTTATTAATTTTTTCTTCACAAATTACACCAAAATGAAGTCGTTTTAATCTGATAATGACCTTGTCTAAATTATAAGAGGTGGTAAATTAAATTTAATGAAGAAACGTGGGGTTCTTCTCGGACATCCGTGAGTGTCATTTCGTTGTTTTCCTTAAAAGCTCAAAAATGATGATATCTGATCATTCTAAGGAGTATACATGCTGTCAGCTCGTTTAATTCGTAATCCCATCAAATAATTAAAGGCCATGCATGCGTGCATTTTTGAAGGTGCTTAATATGCACTTTGGTTGCATTGAAGGTGCAGGAAATTAAGATATTCGCCTCCTTTGTACACACCACGAAATGGCCATATTAAGGTTCATTTTAAACATCAATTTATCCATGAATTTAACAAATTCATGCATTTGTCATCACCAATCATGACATGCATCATTGCAATTTAATATTTCCATAAAATACTTGCAGTTAAACTGCTTATTCGAAATTTTCCCCACACTTTGGTACTGAGTTCTGCGCTCAACTCATTTCTGAAGCATTTTCTCGTGTCTCTTTCTCATTATCAAACTCATCGCGATCATGCGACATGACAATTTTCTTCGACTGACGTAAAGTTTAAAAAGAGCTACTTAATGCGTTGAAATGTTTATACATTAGTGGAGTACAAACAACACAAAGTGTAGCCATATAACATGGAAAATAGGTCATTGATGTATAATCTTCTTAAATTCGTGCGAAATCCGTAAGAACTTGTTTTCCACGCCATGCTAGTTAACTAAAGACCAATTAAACCTGTCATGATTTGAATCAAAAATATATACCAATACTGCAACTAGCTGTCATAATTATGGAGCTTAACGGGAACACGACGACGGCAGCTATCAATACAATGGCTCATTGAAAAGGAATGAATTATTAAATACCTATGGGAGTTTTAGACGTGATCTACGTTCTGTTTACAACGGCGAAACGTCGTTTATTACGTCCTATGTAAAACGTCGTTTATTACGTCCTATGTAATTTCAGGACCCAGTGAGCGCTACCTCGAATTAGGCTCAGTAGAATTGTCCCTAAACGTAAACACAATGTTTTCAACGTCTTGTATCTCATTAACTTGGTACAGTTGATAATATACAACAACGTTTTACCATAACATTTATTTAAAGGAGTATTTCAACCACGTCGTCGTCGTGTTGCCGTCTTACATGCTTAAGGTCCCTATTACTATTATATAGTGATAACAGTATATCCCTCACTAATCTGGATCTTTCTGTGCCTGGCCGGATGATTTAAAAATATTTCAAACGTGGAGGCTGAAGTGTGTAAGTAGAATTCTATACAATAAGCTGTCTACTTGAAAATTTCGCCTCTCGGCTCTCCCAAATGTTTCTTTGGGTGAAAGAACTATTTGGTAACTGACTTCTTCTAACCGAAGAAAGTGCTAAATTTTTCACAGTGTAAATAGTGTCTATATTTAAAAAATCATCACCATTTCCATTTTTTGCCATCAAAAATTATTAATAAAATTGAATTGAGTATATAGTACATGCAGGGTTCAATATGTACGCTATGTTGAGATAAACTATGGGTTTAAATCTTAAAACCTTACGGCAATGGTATCCTTTAGGGGTAAATTTTTGTGATAGTTCCATCAAGTTAATGAAATGTGGTAAACGTGGATAAACTTTAGATTTCACTTTATTGTACAGTTACAATAGCTACGTAAAAAACACATACTAACATACACTAGTCCCAACTATATTACCAACTGTTAGGTGTTAGGCAATAGCTAGAGTCAATTTGGAGGAGTCTATATACCTAAATGTACCCATTCCTGTGGTATATAAACATGAATACTTGAATATACACTCGCCATATGCAGTTAAGCGATCAAACTGCAGCCCTCGAGCCTCAATATTCTTCTGTCACATCACATGCTTTCATTTACCATACCAGACAGCTTATAGAAAAGGTGATAGACATGCATCTAAGAGCCAAAGTGAAACAGTTTTTTAAACCGGATTAAAACTTCAGAAAAATGCAACAAGCAACCTTGCAAGGTTTAAAAACTTCAGAAAAATGCAACAAGCAACCTTGCAAGGTTCAAAAACGTCAGAAAAATGCAACAAGCAACCTTGCAAGGTTCAAAAACTTCAGAAAAAATGGGAAAACAAACTTAGTGAATTCAAAAATGCAAGACTGAAAAGCAATTACTTTCAGGTCGGAGTAGAGGTAACCAGATGCGCACGTGCGAGTTTAATCCGAAAGAAACTGGCAACTTAATACAACATCATGCATGTTTAATTGACTAGCGAACTAGAACAATGATAGAGGAAAATTCTATCATTCCAGCTGTACCCATAGTGTCAGCTTTTGCATAAATATAAATTTAATAAACATTTTTTCATTTTCAAATGAAAAAATCATTTCAATTTATTCATTTTTTCAATTCAGTACCTCTAATCCCTTTCTCCCAAAACATTAAAACACTTGAAAAACCACGCGACCACCGTATACATTACTGGGTCGATTTCATTGAGAGGGAAGTTCTGAAATTTTAGCAAG